TTCATTTACGATGATATTAGTGGAAATGGAAATCAGAGGCGGGAATGGCAAATTAATAGTATTTTTATTAAGTTTATTTATTACTTTTCTTTGTTTAATTCTAAATTATTAAGGCGCCACTTTTATCTAATTACCAATAAGATTTAAGTAAGGCAAACTGAACATAATTATAGGTATATATTATAGTCTTTATTACTATATTTTAAATTATTGACAAACTTTACTCTCTACCAATATAAACTAATATATTTACATAGTTCTATCACAAATGGCGAAATCCAGCTCTGCTAATAATCACAGACCAAATTTAATTATTGTTAGAATAATAATTTGTGAAGTATATTGGTATTAAAGGGAGGCGCCCTCGCGGGCGTCCAAGCATTTAGGCCACCAGATGGGCCCGTTGTGCCCCCAGGCCGCTCTAGAGGGCGTCCAGAATGCCGCCCCTCCTATGGAAGGTCGGCAACTCCTTTAGCCCAATACCGTGCACTGAGTCCGGATCGATCAGAGCCGTTCCGAAGACTCCAAATCTTGCCCATGTCAAGGCAGGGTACTCGGTGAGCAGATGATACGGGGTCTCCTCCCCTTCCATGCACCACCTACACTCCGGGTCGTCTCCAATGCCTAGCAAGCGCAAAGATGCCTCCTAACCCTGCAATGTCCTGTCCTAACAGGGGCCTAGTTAGTGCTCTACACTCCCTTCTGGTCAGTCTAAGCAGCTCCCTGGTCCGAGGGGGGGCGGGCCCATCCATCATAAGCCTCGCCTGCCTCATTCCCGGAGCAACTCTCCAGCCCCCCGCGGCCCGGTCTCTCGCCCAGGCTTCGAGAGCTCCCCGCCTCACACACGGGGCGATCCCCAAGCGGGGCTCTGGCCCTATATGCCTATGCGAGGAGCCCTCTCTGGCTAAGGCATCCGCTGCCTCATTGCCCCGGATACCGGTGTGACCCGGGACCCAGACCAACGTGACCTTCCTCTCCTCAGACTTTGATCTTGTTTTCTCAGAATTAAGAATGGATAAAAAATGGAAGACAGTATATGACTTTATAAAGGGCGTACTTCATAGAGTTTTTTTGTATTTAAAAATTCAAAGTTTATTTATTTGAGTATAGCGGATGGCCGCTATATCTTAATTGCCTATCCATTAACACACCAAGTTTGCATCTAGGAGGAGCAATGATACAAACAAAAATTGATCAATAGTAGCGCCTTTTTTCAATTTTTTATTCGGAGAAGTTGGTTTTGTAAGTTCTAATACACATTGCGTCAATTGTAATTTGCAACCTTGCGTTCAAAAAGTTAAAATTATCCGAAATGTAGTTGCCTGCATTCAATGACAAAGAAGAAATGATGTCTGAAGCGTTTTTTCTTTCCGCGTTTCTTATGAGCGTTTTTTTTTTTTTCAAATTTTAGCAAATTAATAATAATTTTAATTTATAATTAGTACAATTTTTCTTCCCTTTTTTGTATCGTCTTATCACTTCAAGTTTTAAAATAATAAAAATCCATGAATAACGAACTAAAGACGGAAATATATAAATTTTTTGGTTACTCTGGCGACGAAACCGTCCGTGATTTCGTCTATTCTACGGGGTCAACCGATTGACGGGTTGGCGAAACAGCCATCCGTATCTGAAAATGGGAAACCCGTACAATCTATTCGAGTTAGGCCTCCGGCGAAACCCGGGTATAATGTAAAATAAGACACGACAACGATTTCGCATCTCCTCCAGTGAGATTTATACGATTCGGCCCAGTATTTTACCCCCGCCCCGCCCGCAATCAAAATGTGATCGAGACCGCCGCTAGGTATCCAGAAATACATAAATTTCTATATAGAACCGAGCGCGCCACCCTTAAGTAAAAATATATGTATCGGGCGCGGGAATCGAATTTCAACCCCCGCCACTCCGATATATATATATTTTAAATTCGCATTCGTTACTAAAAGTGTCTCCCAGTCGCGAGGTCTGAGGAGGGGCGGGAGGAGGCTCCCTTTTATTTTTGACAATCGCACGAAGAAGGAAGACCGGAGTCGATACCAAACGAGTAGCAGAAAAAAAATTTTTAAAATCCTGTCAATGCAAATAAATGACTCGCCCTGTATATAGAATGCGAGAATGGAATTAAGCAAAGCTGATAGATATCAAAATCGTCACCGAGTTTTCCTGGGGCCTACAACACAAACTCTACAAGTCCTGCAATTCTGCAGGAAAAATAAGGGTCGGAAGACCATCAAAAAGATGACCGGGGGACTCGCCATAACAAAGATTCGAAGCGTGGAGAAAAACAGGGAAGAGGAAGAACATAATACAACTAAACTTGGGAAGAATATTTTCCAGAATAGTATGAATTAACGCCACTGCTGAACACCTTCTAGATTCCTATTCCGGCTAGGCCCTTTTAGAGCTAGCGAACTATTTTGACGGTGCAATGCAGCGTGTTCCGGTTACAGTTACATTACAATACTCTGCTTTATGTTACTTCCAAGTAATTACAGACGAATTCTGAGGATTTTCAGAGGAACTCCAACTAATTGCAGAGGAATTGTGAACATTTCCAGAGGAATTTCATAGAATTATAAGTATAAAAGTTATTACAGTACAAATATTTATCAAGCGTCAAGTCTGTTAGGAAGACAGTAGGACAAATTTTAAATACCTGTTAGTTACACGTGTAGCTAACATGTGTACAAAATTATTTAATTTCAACACTTGGAGTAATTTTCATTGTGGTACCGAATTAAGTAGTACTTGTATGCATATACGCAATATATGGTAATATTCTAGGGGCCTTTCTATAATGCTGTTAGTGCAAACGATCATTCTACGTCAGCGAATTTAAACTGTAGACATCACAGCGATGCTCGGTCGCAGAATTGTTGGTAGGAGGGGGGGGGGGCAATTAAAATCGAAACCCCGATCGGTGGAGCGTAGCCGCAATTTTTCATTTAAATCCCTTCTCTAATTATCGGCGGTTCGGAGGTGTGACAAATTGCGAAATACGCAAGTGCTGGGATTAATTTTGACTTATGGCCCGGCGTTTATTTCGAAAGTCGTCGGGGCCCCCCCTGTGTCGCCGGTAATGAGCTTTAATTGTATCGGGCGCATAGAAAAGAATTAGACGATGGTTAAGAAACGAATACTGACGGCCCTTATACGCGATATATATATATATATATATATATATATATATATATATATATATATATATATATATATATATATATATATATATATATATATATATATATATATATATATATATATATATATATATATATATATATATATAATATAATTATATAATATATTATATAATATAAAATAATATAATTATAAAATAATAATTATATTATATATATATATATATATATATATATATATATATATATATATATATATATATATATATATATATATATAATATAAATAATATAGGATTGTAGCAAATTCTAAAGCACAGTAATTACATAAGATATTAAAACAATTGAATTAACAAAAAATATAAAATGTGAGAGACTCGCAGCTCAAAATCGGATTTTAAATATTCTTCTACACTGTAGAAACGTGGGTCTAGAAGATACAATTTAAGGGTTTTGCTGGTGAATTTGAATTTGAATGTTGGAATTTCAATATTACAATTCCGCAGACCCAGCTGTCCAATACAAGGAAAGCACAAAATATATACCGTCTTAAGTGTCCATTAAAGGCCTCAAAGGTCGGGGCAAATAGGTCAAGATTCAGATTTTTATGAAGATTGAGGTTATCTTTAGCAAGAAAAAGTTCCATAAAGGAACGAATCTAACGAACGCAAAGCAAAATTATGTGTTGACGCAAGAACAGCTGATAAGACTCGCAATAGCATCAAGTATTATCTATTTGTATTATAAAAGCCCTTTTTCCTCAGACTTCTATAGCGTAAGCCAGACCTCAGAGACCTCTAAGCAGAAAAGTGATGCTAGAAGTCATCTATATACGTGGACACTTTTAGAGAGACCTCTAAGCAGAAAAGTGATGCTAGAAGTCATCTATATACGTGGACACTTTTAGTTGTCATCGATGGCTATACCAAGTAATTTGATAGTTTTTTTTTGTTGAGAATGGCAATTGCAATGACTAAGGTTACTCCGAGTACTGCTCCATGGCAAACTGTATAAAAATATATTGTTTTTGTCTAAAAATTAAAAATATCGTTGGTGGCTTCTTTAAACGGCGCTCCTGTACAAAATATAAACATTTTATCAGCTTGAGCTTAATATAAATGAAATAAATAAATAGAATTATAAAATAAAAATAGTACTTTTTTGGGTCTTTTCTATTGACCGTTGAACTTAGGCTAAGTTGTTTGAAATAACTGTTATATTAATAAGTACTGTATAGAAATAGAGAATTCAAATGAACCAAGAACTTCACCTCACCGATCTACCTCTAATTTAGTTTAGTTTAAAAGAGTAGGTTTAAAATGTAATTTAGTTTTTCGATTTTTGTTCTAAAAGTAACTTTGCAGTTGTATTGTATTCCATTGGGCCTATAAAGCAATTTACTAGATTCATTATACGAAGTATATTAAATCAGTTGTTCACTGTTCTCACAACAGCCGACTCAATTAATGCTTGGATTATTGAAGAAATCTTAAGCTGGCGACACACGATCCGGCATGCCTGTCAGTTCGAACTGAACAGTCCGCCTGAAGACTAGTCGCCTGAACGTGTATATGTTCCCGTCAGTTAAGACTGTTCAGGCGAACGATCCTTTTTTTCAAACAATTTTTACACGATACCATACGTTTTTTTGGATCTCTTTTTACCCAAAGCAACTACTAAGCCGAGAAGCGCTAACTCGTCGTCGTCAGTAGATGATGATTGAGACTGATATTTCATATTCGCCTGAACGTCTGGGGCGTGGCCAGTCCATCAGGCGGACTGTTCAGTTCGAACTGACAGGCCTGCCGGATCGTGTGTAGCCGGTTTTACAAACATTTGACGGTGCTGGTGTTTCAGTGGTACCAGTGCGACCTGAACAGTCTTCCACCCGCGATCGCCTCGAAATTCGTCCAACTGGGACCGGACAACGACACCATCAAGTTTCTCGAAGAGTCGGAGAAGAAGTCTGATTGGATCCTGACTCAGATCTGGCACACCATCGTCAAAGCGGTCCTCGGCTGGTTCATGACGCAGACCTCCATCAACGGGTAAGTGCCTAGTGCTTTGCAAAACAGTGTGCCACGATAACTAAATTTATTAAAGTGTTGAACTGTTTAATTTAATATTTTAATTTCGGGTAGTTGAACAGCAGAATATTTTCGAAATTTTCGAACTACTCGCCTGATTAAAAATCAGAAAAACTAAAAATCACGAAGCATCTTTAATCACTTGCGGTTTTTTTGTTCGAAAAATCCTTTATTATTTTGATCCGCAGCGCTGCAAAAAAAAAATCGGGATCTCGATCTTCTCCATTGTTTTAGCTCGCGACTGAGGCGACGCTCGTTGGGCTAGTTAACATTAATACCGTCGCCTTTCGTGCAAACTTATTGTGGTTTCGACAAGATTAATGCCCACCGAATTAATTCGGCGCCTGCGGGACCCGAGGGGGACGAACAAAAAGACAAAAGGTACCCGGTTTAACGGCTCCGCCTCTCGTATAAATTTCCGCAGAGAATACGGAGATTTAAACAACCCGTACATGACAAAAATTTAGTTGTTTTGTAATGTAAAAACTTATGACTAAAGCGGCTAAAAGAAAATGTTAGAAATTATTTTTACACTTTTAAAATGACCGCCGGGGTGGCGCAATCGCATTCTTAATTATTATATTACAGATAACTAAAATGAACACTTTTTTTTTCCTAAAGGAAATAGGCGTCGGTGTTCTAACATTTTCCGAAATAAATCCCAGTAACTTTAGAATAGCTGAACGCACTTTGTCCAACTTGCTGGCGTTGAAAAGGGTAACTGTTTAATTTCGCTTGCTTGTATCGCTTTTTTCGACATCACTACAGATAAAATTTGTTTTCTCAAAAATTTTAATGCAATAAGTGTCTGACACGATTGTGAAACCGCAATTCGATAACTTCCTTCCTATAATATCCGTAAAACAAATGTCAATTACAATTAATACTCATTCCTAATACAATATATTACAATACAATACAATACAATACAATATATTACAGTAATGCTTTATTATACTGCGTCCTCCTTCGCACAGATACTAAGAGAAAAAAATGCGTTTTCGATGTTTTGAAAATAAACACGCAAAGTTTCAGCCATCTTAATATGACTTAAACGCCGCCATTATACGTACTTTTGCTATTTTGTTTTCCAAAGCTCGCTTGGATTTTAAAAAATTCCAAATTGTGTTGAACTTTTGTATTATTACAGTAAATGTATATATTGCTAAAAAAAGGAAAATTATGATTTAATAATGGCTATGGCGACATTATTTTTATTTCTTTTACTGACATTGTAGATTAGGAAAATGATATAGAAGGTCGGTTTTCCGATGCATGAATGGGCTATCTTTTGTTGCAATAAAATTGATATCTTGGATTTGGGATATTAAATTTTATTTAAAATGATGTCTCAAGATGCTCTGTAGCATCGATGCGAGCAATCTCAAACAATCTGCTATCCGCAATATAAGATTATTTTTGAAGAAAATTAAAAATAATTACAACAATAATATTTCTCATTTTCTCTTTACCGCCTTAGTTTTTTATCCCAAATCTTTCCGACTGCTGTCTTTTCAAAATGACCGAGTGTCATTCTCAGTTAGCGACATTATGTACATAATGCCGATTTTTTTCTGTTAAAAGATTTTTTTTTCGTTTCCTTTTTACTAGTATCGTAGTATGGATGACAAGACAATAGTTAAAACTCATAAGTTGACCTAAAATAGATCTAATGCCAGAGTTTTATGAGAAACTTGAGTATCTATAGGCAAAATCGGTAAACTATGTCACAATGGTTAAAATGCGATAAATGAAAAAAGTAGCAAAAGTCTTTTTTGGTACATGTTGAAAAACATTTTGATTTTGTTATGTATGATTTCATTCTACGAAGACGGTTAGAAAAATCTGCATATGAAATTACAGATACATTTATAACAAAGATTAATCTTTGTGTGCAGGTCAATCCAACTATTCTCCTATCACAGTTACAATAATTGTTGTTGATTTAGGTAAACTTTCCTTTGCGTATGCAAAGACTATGAAACTGAAAAGGATTTTTTTTTGAAAATAATAATTTTTGGTTTGGGTATTTTTTGATAATTCCCGCCCCCTTTCTTCGCGTCACCGTCAAGCCGATCGAAGACGAGTAAAAAGTGCGACCTTCGGGGCCTCTTACACTCGACCGGCATAGTTCAGCATTCGACGTTAATAACAATAAATAATAGCGTATTAATTGGTTTGATATATTGCCGGGTATCGGCCGTGTTTTTTATTTTGTTTTTTGGTTCTGTTGCGCGCTCGGAACGCCCGGGCTTTTTGCACCCGCAGTGTCAACCACTTAACGAGGAATGCAATGTACGTCAAAAAGTGGTGCGCTTGGAACCGCAACAACTGAACCGGTACCCGTAGCGCGTGGATCGACACTCCTCCCCGCAAGGGTTTCCAAAGCTCTTTTTTCAACTCCTTTTTTTTAATCGTTCCGATCTACATGTAGCAGCAGTTTAAGTACATTACACTCACGGCCAAAATTTTTGGACGGACTTTTTTGTGTGGTCGCGAAGTTGTAATTTTCGAATAGTGAATTGTAATATGTTTGTAATATGTAATATCTTTGGACGAAGAAGAGTATTAAAATTAAAAAACGGAATATACGGGTCTATGATATGTCAAAAAGAAATTCTGTTTCTATTTCTAATAGTAGCTACAAAGCTGCAAATGAAAAAAAAATACATAAAAAGTGAAATGTCTGTCGCATCTGAATATTTAAAATCGCTGTACATAAGAATGTAACTGAATGCATAAAAATAATATTTGTTCTTCAGACGAGAAATTTTATTTCTAATTTATTATTATATTTAAAATTTATCAAATAATTCCACATTCCTCAAAAATATTATTCTGTTGGTTAGTTTTGGTTAGTATTGCAAATTTTTCACCGTTTTAAGAATTCTACACATAATTTGTGAGTGTGAAAATTTTCGATCTTGAACATAAGAACGTTTTTTTTTATAGGGGGGCGTTTTTTGGCTTTTCTTCCAGCAAGTTAGAATAATATTTTTTTCCCTAGTTAAAACTAGAGCAGGCACCAGCAGATCTTTAATCTTCAGTAGTAGTCAAAATAACAAGCAAAGTAACAATTCGTTAACAAGCAAAATGCTTCTGATTTAAATTTGGTTTCGAATTTAGAGTTAAGGAAATTTTTCCTTTAGTTATTCTACTAATAATTTACATTATGTTCATGTATCATAAATGAACAATTTTTTTATTGCGTTTTTGCAAAAAAAGGCCCGGTAGACACAATGCAATTTTTTTACAGTAGCCACCATGCAATTTTTGCGAGCAAAATATTTTTTTTTAATTTTAAGACTATAAACGACACTTTTTAGCATTTGTTAGCGTTGAATGGATAAACTTGCAAAAATGTTTTTACCACTCGTATATAACTTGTGCGTGGATAAAAAAAAGTCCATGATGCGAATATTAGAAACGAGAAATGAAAATGTTGGTTTGAAGTGCGAAATAAAATACAATATATAATAATTATATTAATTTATTATTTCTCTAAAACTAATTTCCATGCAATTCTCTTACATTTGAGACTAATTGTTTATTGACTTGTTTTATGCTAGTTTTTAATTGTCTTGGTTACATTTTCCAATACTTACAGTTTTTTAACGAAATTGTCCATTGGCGCTTTTCATAATTGTATATTTGGGAGGCGAAACTTTCTGCAATTACAAGACTTGCGATCAGAGAATTAGCGTTATGTCTATACGAGGTGCTTGTCGAATATTTTTTCTACTTCGATGTTTCATGTTATATTTACACTCTTAAGAGTCACATTTCGTGAATTCGACTTTAGTTACATTTTCAATAGAGGTTAAACCTACAAGTTTATAAAAAAACTGTTTGCGGCGGTTTACGGGCACAAATTCGGGAAAAATTAGCTGGTATCGTGTCTATTATACCGCTTAAGGAACTAAAACGCTAAAACACTGACAGAATTATACTAAGGACGCCGATCTGTGTACCGTAATTCAGCATAATATTAATCCTGTACTTAACGCTAATGTTTTTAATAACGGTTTCCAACCTTAATTCTTTTTTGCCTGAAAATTTAATGGGATTTCGACATATGCTAATAAAATACTCCGTAAATATGCAGCAGCCAAATATTGACGACCTGCCAGCGGCCATGTTGGTTGTTGGGAGCCGCAAGGCGAATTTTCAAAATTTTTTATCATAGTTGCTGCACACGTTCGTGTACTATTAGCATAGGCAGGGCTTCTACATGTCTAGTAGCTATATGGTTTGAACTAGAGCCACGTTGCCAGGTTTACAATAGTAACCGTAAATACTTTTCGCGATGTCTGGCAACAACAGACTGCATCCGCTTATCAGCCTTTCGGGTTTGACACGAAAAATTTGGTCCGCCCTGTACGCGGCCGTAACCCGTGTTATTACGAGGGGGGTGGGGCGGGCGTAGGTGTTCGTAACCGACGAGACTCGCCTCGGAGGCTGTTGGCCGCCCTGATTGACGTTTACGGGCCGCCGGACGCTGCGAAAAAAAACGACCTTTTTCTTTGTTTAATTTTGCGCGCCGCGCGCGGTCGCAAAAATCCGAGGCGTGACATTCGGGCAGTTAAAACGGGCATTTTAGGCGTTATTTACGGCCCGTAATTAACGGGAACACCTTTAATTACCGAAGGGTTGATTGGAAGCGGGATTATTATTCCGAGAAGCGACCGCGCGGCGCGCCCGAAATGGATTTTTTTTTTATTGGTCGCCGTCTCCTCGGCCCGACGCGACCGCCCCCGAATATTTCGATGGACGTCGGACATTTTAACGATTCATAAAACTGTTGCGAACTCATGCCCACGATCGTTTAAGGTTATCGCTGTGAAAAAATGACTAATTTTCATCCGAGCGATTAAAAATCCCGTTCAATTAATTATATTTCCCTTAATTTCATTTCATTTATAACAATTAATTACCCTTAATTGCAGTAAATCATACATTAC